TAGAAAAGAATATATCTATATTGTTCTTTAAGAATATATACTGTTCTTTAAGATCTCTCTTTAGGAGGAATTTTTCGTTTTGTAGGTTTTGTATCTAATAATATTATATATTGTATATATATTTAGTACGGAGACTAAATAACAACTTATGTAGATTATATTATATAGTTTATGTATATTTGTGTATAATCATAGTAAATATAATGAAAATGAACTTGTGCTTTGTTTCATAGTTTTGCAAGGTGTTGTCAGGTTCTAATAATGCCATGTTATTCGTTAAAATATATGTAAGGAAAAATCTTTTAAAAAAAAATGCTCTTAAGATACGAGTAATAAGATATTGATATCAGAAAAATAAACAAGAAAAATTTAGAAAACTTTTTAGATATGGGAAGTTTTTTGAACAAATGAATGGAAATTTTCCAAAATATAAATCAACATTCAATTGATAAAATTTCCGATCCCACTTAAGTATATGAACAAATCATACCAAAAGTCTTGAAATTAGATTCAATACATATAACATTATATAGAATACCAATAGAGTGAATAAACGGATTAGAATATTTTATCCATATCTGATAAATAAAAATGCAACGGATGATGGTAATGATCATTCGCTTAAATATGTAAGAAATATAATAAATAAATTAAGATTGTTATTACGAATATTGTGAATGATAACAATATATTTCGTCATGTAAAGAAAGTGCGATTATTTGAAAAGCTGAATTGTAAAAGCCTTGCAAAAATAGTTTGCCAAAGGAATCTTATCCTAAATCATTAGTTTGGATTTAAAATAAAACACTCAACGATCTAGCAAGTATACAAAGTTACACACGATATCGAAAAGGCCTTAGAAAACAAGGCAACTTGTTCAACTGTGTTTCTTGATATCTTAAAGGCTTTTGGGTCTGGCATTCTGCCCTGATTTATAGGTAAACTAAACACTATTCTCCAACAGCAATACTGTAAACTGTTGGAATCGTATATTGGCGGAAAGTACTATCAAGTTAAACTACACAACTCGTATTCACAATTATATTGTATAAATCGCGGGGTCCCTCAGGGACCTGCTGTCGGAATTTTTGCATATGACACGGTAAATTTAGCTACAGGTCCAAACAACAAGGAGTCTACCACCAAGCTACAAACGATTCTATAAGAAGTTGAACAATGGACTAATATTTATTAGTAATATTATTTGATTCCATTTAGAAACTGTCAGTAAATAGTTTCAAATCTAACCACGCAGACCTTACTAACAAAAGAGAAACTGAAATTCCATTATCTCTAAACAGCGTATAAATTCCAGTTGCTAATTCTGTATTAGATCCAAAAAACTAACTTGGCTTATTGGAATGAGATCCAAATTATCTCAGCAAAACAAACTTATGATTACAAACAAGTTTTCAAGCCTATATGGCTCTATGGCGTCTTAATGTGGGGTTGTGCAAAAAATCATATAACAGATATGATACAAAGATTCCAAAAAAAAGAACTTAGGGATACAGTCATCGTGACCTTGAAATACCTACTGCCAACCAAGAAATACAGAAATATGCCAAAACGCACTATGAAATGCTGAATCAACACTTAAACAGCACTATTTCGATGTTACTTTGCGATGTTACACACAGATGCTTAAGTCGCTTCAAGAGAGACTTTTGAGGCATTTCAACCACCAGTATGCTCAAAACTATAGACAGAGATTTGAAGAGTTAGATGGAAGTTGTATGACAAGGCTTAGATCCTCCACTTACTATTAAAATAAAAGATAATAGTTTACGAATATCAGTAGATCCTCATTCTAAAGCTACAGATTCATCTGTATATAACACATAAAAAAAGCAGTATTCAAATATTTAAATAAAAAATTTCTTTAATTTATAAACAAATTTATAGACGCATTAACATCAAAATTTACTTACAATTCAGCTTTTTCTCGCTGACATTGATCAATGCTAAAGAAGTTTATGTTGCTAATGCACTCAAACACAAAGATCGTAAGATCGCAACCGACGATCAAGTAAGTGGGTAACTGAGTTAGTGAATAGGCGGCGGTTGAGTGAATTAAACTGCAATAATTTAATTTAACGTTAGACATTTAATATGCACCGAAAGGCCTTCAAAATGTCATACATTGTAATACTCGCACAACAAAAATGATAAGAATTTACAAGCGACAGCGGCGAGAACAACAACAATTTAAAGGTCAAAGCTAACACAGACGTATCTTAAGCCTCTTCTCCAACATTTGACATTCGCATTGTGCTGTGCACTAGTATTTATCCTTAGTTTGCGTTATATGTATATGCGGCAAAAATGGGCCAAGGTTACATATTTATAAACTTATACAAATGTATCTATGTGCGGGCATTTGGTGTTGCTGTTGCGTGTCGCATTTGCTCATAAATGCACTCAACGTTAGGCGTGCAGTTGCTCTGCTTTTGTATCGGGGGTTGCATTAGTATCGACTGATTTATTGTATTCCAAATAAATATGTATGCGCTTTTTTCTACTCATGCAATTGGAGCATGACGCACACAATTTGGGTCAAGTGCAAGTGGCGGCATTTCTAATATTGGAGATTGAATACAAGGATACATGTATAAAAAAATATAAATGAAGGTCTCGGTAACGTTCAGATACAACGCTTATGTGCGTTTGTTGTTGCGTTTAAGTGCATTTGATGCATTTGCTGCACCCTTGCCGTAGAAATGTAACATGTGAATGGTTTAAATGGGTCAAAGTCAACTACTATTGCGACATGGAAGGCAAGGCTAGTGTTAATTGGGTTCTGGCATTGAATATAACGTTTTATTTGCCATACATGGTTCTATTATCGTTTGAAGGTTAAAATGTAAATTTAAATAAAGTTGTTCAAATAAAAACATGATATGTATTAAATTTTAAATTTATAGGTGCTGCTAAAAATTTTGAATGGAAAACTTGAATATAAGAGAGTGAAGAGAGTAGTTGAAAATAATTTTAGAATTTCTCAAATTGATAGGTTTTATTACAAAGATTCTATTATCCTATTAGATTCATTATTAATGCTGTGTTTGTAGTTTACCTCTCTCTCTCATCATATCTCTAACATAATATAATATAATATAATATAATATAATATAATATAATATAATATAATATAATATAATATAATATAATATAATATAATATATATATAATATAATATAATATATATTATAATAATATATAATATATATATAATATTAATAATATATAATATAATATATAATATATATAATATAATATATAATATATATAATATAATATTATAATAATATATATATAATATGTATATATATAATATATATAATATAATATGTAATATTATAATAATATATAATATAATATATAATATTATAATATATATAATATAATATAATATATAATATATATAATAATATATAATATATATAATATAATATATATAATAATATATAATATAATATATAATATTATAATAATATATAATATAATATATATAATATTATAATATATTATATAATATATATAATATAATATATATATATAATATAATATAACATAATATAATATAATTTATGATATGATATCATAATATATGATATGATTTTGTGCTGTTTCGTTAAAATCTCTATATTATTAGTGTCATCGAATGAGTGTTACATTATTTAGATATATGATCATAGACAATTGGATCTTATAATAGTAATGTTTTTATATTGTTTTCTAAAAACAAAAAGCTTGCAGAAATATCTAAATTATGTTGTAATTCTGGATGTACGATTATAAAAAATTTTTCACAATTTCAAATAAAATTATTAACTTGAATTAAGTCCCGTCAAAACTAATACAACTTTCCGACTAATGATTTTTAAATAAAAAACTAGTAATGTTTTATATAGTCTTCTAAGGCTTGAAACTCCTCTTGCATAAATATGTAAGTCATGAATTTTTGGTAATGACGTTATAGCATATTTTCTAATTAAATTCGTTGTGTTGTATTAAGTCTTGTCGATATCTTCTCGGATATTATTTTCTGTTACCCAATTTGAGGATTTTAAAATTATAAAGTTGCTATTAGAGCAGTAACATCTATGTTCCCCTAATAGTGCTTAAATATGTTTCAAATATATTTAATAGTGTATGTTTCATACACAATAATAGAGATAAAATGTAGTAACATCTATAATACTTGAAAGCAATATTATAATCTTAATAGTTTTATCTTGGCCGTACTACAGGGATTTATAGGCTTTTGTGCTGAAAATGTGGGTTTTCTTTTTTGTAGGTATGTATAACTCAAGCAGTTGTAGATGAATTTAATATATGAATAAGGACCACTTGTATCTTTAGAAAATTTTTAACAGGTTCGCTACATAAAAAAAATTAATTCATTTATTCAACACTAGTAAAAAACAAAGAAACAAGTGTATATAATTATGTGCCTCAATAATACTCCGCCAGGAAAATTATAAAAATATATATTTTTTATATAAATATAAAAATTTTATAACTTTATAAAATATATAAAAAGTTATTTTTAATTACAATGTATGTATTTTCTATAGATATTTATCACATTTATCACTTAAGAAATTATACCGAAGCCAAAAATAAAGATTTACCGATCATATTTATTTATGTTTTTTTAAATATTATAATAATATAAAAATAATATATATTTTTTATATCTTTTTATATTGTTTTTTTAATTAATTTATTTAATAATTTATATAATTGATTTTATATAACACAGTTTTTGACTCGTACGACTTTTGTTTATTTGAAAATGATTTACTTTTTATATCACCACTGTAAACTTTAGTTTAGTTATTTATAATGTATTTCTTTATATTTAAAATAATTATCACACTTTTTTGTAGTTTTAATCTTAAACCAATCCATAAATAGCACAGCAGCAATTGTTTCAATAAATATTGCCAACACCTGAAACATTTAAACAAAAAAAAATAAAGTCTGGTACTTACCGGCTGCTCTCTCACCGATTTCCATATCAATGAATTCCTCCGAAGAGGAAACTGAGTCACTATCTGAACTTCCAACTGGCGAAATATGGTGATGATTTAAAACAAACTCTTCTTGAGATGCTTTGCTACTACTGCTACTGCTGCTGGTATTTACTGTCGGCCTAGGATTCACTGACAGCTCTTCAAAAGTTTGCATATTCGATCTACTTGTACTTAAATTTGCATTATTGTTATCAATAATTTTATTGGCAGTGGATGTAATTGTTGTTGTTGTACTAATTTGATTCTCTGTTTGATTTGTGGTTGGTAAACATTCTACACTATTGATTTGTAGGTTATCGAACTGCACCAGTTTGCTACAAATTTGATATACTGAATTTGTATTTCCAGTAGCATTTGCAGTTGAGTTATTACTTGTTGGTAGAGTTTGTGTGTCTGGTTTGTGACCTATGTTAGCAGTTGTTGTAATGATATTGTTACTGAACCCCATAATTGGTGGCTCACAGTTTCTATGGGTTGCTGCTGTCGTAGTGATTGTATTTTGCAGATAACTAACTTCTGCAGACTCTGTAGGCTTAAGATTTAGGTAATGTGCTTGTGTTGGTTGTTCACAATTTTGTATAACCTTTGGATCCGGATGTCTGGGTAATTGAAACAAATCTGTAAATGATGGCGTTGATTCAGTATTTATGTTATTGGAGTCGTTTCCTACATTCGCTGTTTGATGTTTTGTTATCATAACGTGATTAGCCTCTATGGTATTTATCAGAGAAAGATTTTTGAAGCTGGTATCTGTTGTCAAAGAACTACTGCCAAATTTCAAATCACAAAGCCCGCTTAAAGACACACCGTCTATATTACTATCTACAGCACGATGATCTAGTAATGCCGATTGTTGTATACAATTTGCGAATGCAGCATAGTCACTCTTTGGTGTTGAGATTTCTATTCTATTTGTTACGTCGTACATAAATGGAGTGCTTAGAGTACTTCTGCCACCTAACATGTGGTCCTTGTGATGATGAGAATGAGAGTTGCTATTGGTATTAAAACCATTATTTGTCATGATGGGTACATTAAAATCATCCATTGTTTATATAGATATTGCTTGCAATGATTAAACTAAAAAACTGTAAAATAAAAACGTTTATTAAATTAGATAAAATATAAAACTAAAAATAAAAATATTAAATAATTTTATTTCTTTAGAATTCACTTATTTTTATTATTTATTTATTATTTAAAGGCAATTATCGTAAACTTTTGATATAAAAAAACTGTTCATATAGATTTATTCACATAGTCCCTTTTTTTTATTAACTTGCCAACGTTTCAAAGTTTTTTGACTTCTTCATCCCGGTGAGATGATTAAATAACTGTGATGAAGGAGTTGTTGTAAAATTATTCTGGCCTAATCCAAAGCCAAAAATACACGAAATATAGACAACTTTATATAGAAGACTATATAAATACACATAAATATAAAGATCTTAAAAACAGCTTTTTATTTTAAAATTTTACGACTATAGCCTTAAGTAATAAATAAAAATATTAAAGTTTAAATATTGTTTTTGATATTAATAGTTATAAAGTTTAAATTGAAACCATGGAAGAATTTATTACAAATAAATAATTGGAAGTTAAGAGATAATCATTATACAAATATACTCAATATTTAGATATGTGGAATTGATGTCTATATTTTTCAGATCAAAACAAACTTCATCATTTTAAGATAAATGCAAAAAGTATTAAATGAAGCAAGTAAAATAAGAAGTAAGAAAGAAAATAAGAAAGTAAAGTTAGATTTGACTTTCCTGGTTATTAAGAACTATTCACAGAAGGTTATCGTTTCTAAACTATCAATTGCAGTATGACAGCAATATATAACCAAATTTAAACTTTTCTTTGACAGAGACATATAATATTACCCGTATATATTTTATATTTTACAAACACTAGAAAATAATCACTTCAAATGATTTAGTTCATAGAGCAGGTCAACAAATTTTGAACCATTCTCAAAAACACAATTCCAAATTTTAATTCAGCTATCTCAGAAACTTAGAGACAAGATTTTGGTTAAGAATACAAAACGGTAGGTATTATCACATCTTTAAACTAAGGGTTCCCCCCTGCGGGATAGGGGTTAGAATATTCTCGCCGTAAGGCATGCCTGTCGTACGAGGCGACTAAAATCCAGCCAGGCGTCGGAGGGTGTGGCTTAAAAGGTCACAGAAACCCTGTGAAGCTCCTGAACTGAGCCGAGTAGACGCCGGCTCAAAGTAAGCGTCCACCATCCCGGGATGGCAACGAGGGAGACACAAGCGCGCAGTGTGCTTCTTCGCTGGAGCGGCTGCAGCACCAACGTGGGAGAAAGGGTCATGCTATATAGATAGTTATACAACGGATAGTCACGAGACCAAAAGTCATGTTATATAGTCATTTAACAATTGACAATTGGTAATCAAAAACTTACTACTATTTTAGTAGGTAATTTTTTGCACCTAGATTTAAGAGGTATTTATTTTTATTTGATATAGGTATAGGCATATCCACACAAATACACAGTATTTACAGTATTTACTTATAGGCGCAAATTCTAATACTTATTTTAGAGCAAGACTGTTTAAATTGAATTGTTTTCTTTTTCCTATGCTCAATTTTTTAATTTAAATTGAAAACAATAAAAATTTCATACTGGACATGACCATGGCTATCTATAAAACCTGGTACTAAGTAAGAATGTATATGCATAAGGTATGCGATTAATTCTGATTTACATTTATTTACAATTATTTGACAGTCTGTGTTCCAATCCCACTAAGACCTGGTATGGCTAAGATTAGATTAAAAAACGGGCTGAGGGGCTGGAAATAGTGTTTTAACTATTTCTTAAATTTCCAAAAAAGCCCTTCTACTAAATCTGCAACGTGGTTAAACTCCATTTGCTATCGCTATAGACCAATAGGTCCATAACCTGTGTAACGCAACCCCATCCTATCTTCGATAAGACCACGATTCATAGTCTATGATATAGAATAAAAATATATCGCCAATTACATTTGATAAATTAAACTTAATATTAAAAATAGATTAATATGTATATAGATTAGAAACCAAATCGAAAAATATTTCTTATAAAAAAAATGCTATAAGGCAAAAAGATGGTAATACAAAAAATCGTATAAAAGATACGTATTTAGAAAATAAAATTGATATACATATTTTATTTTTTATAAGAAGATAGGGAAACCTTGCTGATATATACAAATTTTCTCGTTCCAACATTAAAACTTAAATTTGAACCCAAGGCTTATATAGCACATTTAAGTTATTATGTTGCATTCAGTATCCGGTGCTTTTCAAAGATTACGGTTCCGGATTATGTTGAAAATTAGAGATGTTCCAGAACAGCTTAGATTTGTAAGACCCTCTTGTTTGTACGACTGTTACACCTAGAACTGAATCAAGTCTACAAAAATTTAACTATAGCATATATTGCATGTTATCTGATTTTTACTGTATACGTCTTGCAATAAAGTATTTTCAAATAATAAAAAAAATGTCAGTTCTTATAGGTCAGTTCAAGTAGTAGTTATGAGACATAGCCTTTCGTATTTTTATATCATTTGATTATTTCAAATACTGAAGCACTAGTTTGCAATGAATAAATAAATGGGTATCACTAAATCAATACGTCTCGTCGAGCTAATGAGAGATATTGTATGAATCACATTTAAGTAATTGTGAATAGATTGCATAATGTTCAATAATAATAGTTACAACAATTTACATAGCAATCAAATTTTCTAGCCATGTATTTCCTTTCGACTTGCTACTGTGCTATGCACTATGTAGAAACTCAGTGAAAATGTGAATAGCAAGCGAACGAATAGATTTTGAGTAACTGAATGATTGAATCTATATAAAAGATGACTCAGTAAAACCTATAAGGACAGATAGAAATAGTTGTTATTGGTTGTTGTTCATGCTATTGTTATACCTACCATATTACACATAAGGTGTACCATGCATATATGCATGTTTTTTTCCTATTCAACTAAAAGATGGTACCAGCGAAAAGTACGCAGCGTTTTTACTGGTATTTAACAAATACGTAAATCTGTTCAATAAACTATAAATTAAAATGACATTAAACTATAAACACACAGAAGTTCAGTCCTCTAAAAACTAGCATCTTGTTTTATCGTTCAGTGATTATGTCGAATTTTGTGTCTAAGAAAAAAACATTTGCGGCAGGCATTGCTTATCTTATTTAAACAAAAGAAAAATGCATGTGTAAGTCATAGTTTGCTGATAGAAACATATGATAAACACGCTCCATGGATTAGAACATGTGAAACATGGTTTCGAAAATTTAAAAACGGTTATTTCTATGTGTAAGACAATGAGCGTACTGGTAGACCACAGAAGTGTAAAGACGAGCAATTACAGGAGTTAGCATGATGATCCAACTTAAATCTAAATAGCAATTGGCAGAAGCAATAAATATACCACAGGAAACAGTCAGCAGACGTTTACAAGCAATGAAGACAGTCAATAAACGGAGTAAATAGGTCCCACACGGTTTGAAGGAACGTCACTTCTAAAATGCTTCTTCAATGCCACAAAGATAATCATATCTGTATCGAATTGGAGCAGGAGACGAAAACTGGAATTATTTTAAAAACCCAAAGCGAAAAAAATAGTGTCTCTCACCTGGCGCAGCTTGCAATTCAACACCAAGTCCGAATCGCTTCAACAAGAAAACCATGCTTTGTGAGACCAAACGGTATTGTGTATTATGAACTCTTAAAGCTCGGCGAAACTGTTAATGCACAATGCTAGTGACAACAAATGATTAATTCAAATCACGGATTGATTGAAAGACGACCAGAATAGGTAAGTAGACATGGAAAAGTTATTTTGTTGCACGACAATGCGTCGTCTCACACAACAAAACCAGTGAAAGACACAGAAAGAAATCGAAATTCTTTGGTTGGGTCGTTCTTGGATAGTTTTGGATACCACAAACAATGTTAATCGCATGATATTCATAAATTATTCAAAATATAGGCAAAATGTATAGAAGCCATAAGAAATATTTTATGCATACACTTGGTATATAAGAAATCTAGACCGAAAAAAAAATAACCACAAAAAGTAAATGAGAATTCCAGACGTTTAGAAACTAAGTTACTTTATGAAGATTTCTATAGATAATGCATATACTTTTACAGACCTCCGATGATTCCTTCCTTTTTCTCCGATATTTTCACATTATATATATTATTATTTGGCGAATAAATTCAATTTAAATACAGTTCTTTTAGTGTATACAGTCTTGTTATACAACCAAGTCATTAAACCAATCTGGATGTACGGTTTATAGCTATATAGCAATGCCTGTTTGTTAAACGTAGAAATCCTAGAAAGAGCTCGAGGAAAGAATGAACATTGTTCAATTAATAATGATAACTGGTGCACCCTGGTATATCAGAAATGAAAACAAACATTTCGATTTGGAAGTTACGATGGTTAAAGTCGAGTACGAGAGAATAAGACAGAAACATATTTCAAATCTTGAAAGCCATGTAAATCTAGCTAGACCTCTTGCAAATATGATAAATTTCTCTAGACTAACACGAAATGATAGACCGGCCATCCTGCTTTCTTAAAAATTATTCTGTTTAATTCAACTTATGCGTCGTGATATCTGGTAAATAAGCCCTGGCTACTTATGCATAGGCCCTTTAAAATAATATACGATTCATTTTATAATTCATTGTAGTATATATATATATATAAAATAATTTGTAATGTAATTAAATTTAAAAAGAAAAAAAAAATAATAGTAATATACAGTACTCAAATATACAGTACACGTGACACTATATCAACGTTATTATACTATTTAATACTAGGAATATAATTAAATTCTTATACTATGTTCAGACACACCTTAATTTCGCAAAAATCTTAATTTCATTTTCATTTTAGCGAAATGAAGTTATTTTTTCTATATAAAATTCAGTTTTAAGGTTTAAAACGAAATCAAGGAAAATGCCCTTAATTTCGTTGAAACGAAGGCTGAAATTAAGAAACATTTCAAATGCAACTATGCGTTAGATAAATTTTTAGCAAAAGATAAAGTTGAAATAACGAAAAAGTGATATTTTTTAAAATAAATGTCAATGATAGTTGACTTTAATAAAACCGGGAAATATTTTTAAATTAGTTAAAATTTTTAAATTTTAATATAGAGAAAAAACTGTAACTGTTATTAAATCAAATTAGAGTAAAAAATATTAATTCACATTCCTGAAATCCATTAAAGCTAATAAAATTACTGAATGGCATCCTTTATAGTTAGGTATAATAACCAAATTTCCCAGATACAAATGGTGTTTTAAGCATGTAATTTTTAACATTTAATTTGTTAACAAAAAACAAATGATTTCCTTAATTTAGGACAGTATGAACACTTTCGATATTAACGTAATTTAATTTGCACGAAATTAAGAAATTTGGCTGTCTGAACATAATATTATTATACATCCATTTAATACTGGGAATATAATTAAATTCTTAGAACTGAGACAGCACAATTTTTATTACTTTGTCTCGCGTTGATTATGTTTTCGGCAGTAAATTATCCACAACTCAGTTCGCCGTTCATATTAAAAATGTTAGTATTCGTTATATTTAAGTACAACTGAACTTTTTATAATTCTGCATATAGTTTATTATAAATGTATTACCTTTATAAATATTGTGGTTTAAATTTTTACAAACTATTTACTTGTTAAAAAAAAATATCTAACTTATAACAGTTAAATAAAACAGTAATTTAAATGCAACAGGTTAAAAATTTCGAATGAAAATATTTGAAAGCTTTACTTAAAATTTCAAATAAGTGGCAACTACAATATAAAATAACTTACCTAGTGGAGATGTTAAAACAGCCCGTTGCGCAGAATGCTGAACTGGAGCGGACACAGAGCATAACAAACAAAAAGCAAAAACCAGTTGAAAGCAAAAGTGCTCTGCTAGATTGCTCTGCACAATCTGCACGACGCGAATAAAAATCAAAAAGAAATAAAGTTTTTGCAAAAATTTCACGGTAAAAGCATAAGAACTTAAAAGTCAATAAAAAACTGAAGGCACTAGCAGCACAACATGATAATGCGACATAAGGGGGGCTTGCATGTGTTACGAGTATAGTTGTATAGTTGCGAAAGAAAAAGTAGTCTCTTTCAGACGTTTTTCTCTTCACACGTCTTCAGCAATAACTTTACCAGCAGCAAAAGCTTTAACATTCCTCTTTATTATTCCACTCTTCTTTTCCTGTGATTTTGTATAAAATATTTTTATATTTATATTCTTGTTATTCTTTCCGCTGTTTCTGTTTCTGTTTCCTAGCAAATTTTATGCGAATCGTCGAGGGGGAATGGTGTATTGTAGTTGAAGCCAGTTGCGCAGCTGGCGTCAGAATTTTTGCAAATATCAAATCACGAAAAGGGAAAGGAAAGAAAAAAAATAGCACGGCACGACGATAATTAAAAAATGCAAACGCACTTGAACTAAATATATTTCTTATTAGAACACATTATTTTTATATATATGTACATATATCTTTTATTAAATCTTTTAACATTGAAAATGTTTTATGCGAAACGAATCACCACTGATATTTATTAGATTATTTTTCTCCATATATTTCAACGGAAATTCTTTACACACTTTCAATTAAAATTTAATTATATTCTTAGTTGAAGAAGCGGTATATACAATAATTTTTTATTGAACGAATTTCATTTAACCGGAGACAAAGACATCGCCCGTAACATCATCAACTGGTCACAATTGGAAAGCTCCGGAATGGAAGTGCAACTATTCCTCAAAAAGAACAACGAAATTCATTTTAGTTAGTTGATGAGTGGGTAGAAGTGCGGGACAGTTGAGAAACGCGTATAAATTTGACGTCGACTGCGACGCTTAATGCGATAATTTTATATTGTATAAATTTTTGCCATTAAAGAACCATTTCACATAATATATTTTATATTTAAACACTTCACGTTTATGTCGATTTATTTATTATATGTAATTCACTTTTGATTTTAATCAAATTAGTTAATTTTAAAAGGTTTGTTTTGGCTGCAGAATAAAATTAGGTCTGTAGGCCAAATTTCGCACTCAATCCACGAATGCGGACAGGGAACAACAACAATCACAACAACGCTGATATTGAAATAGATCAAGGAGAAACATACGGGGGGCTAAATAAGCTAAATACTACAAATGAGTTCTATCTTCATTTCATCCTATTAATAATATGTTGAATAAGTTAGAAGGGAACAGAAAAAGGAACTTTATTGCAAACAACGCACGAATTATGTAAAAAAAGTAAATTAAGAAAATTGTGTTCTTGGCCTTAAAAACATATTTGAAGAACAAGGACGGCAAGTTTTTATTTGAAAAGCTTACAAAAGTTTAAAATGTTGCGTTCATATTTAAAGCTTTTTAGTACTTAAATTGGCATGTTAATAAAAGCTTTCATTGAGTATGTTCATAATTTCCGCTCGTATGGAAAAATATTAAAAAGTTTATAGTTTGCTGATTTTGAAAAATACATTTAAAAATATAAATATATGATATAAATATATAATATATGAATATATAATGTACAAATATATAATATAGAAATATATAAAGATATAAATATATATATATGTATATACAGAATAATATAAGCAGTTATATGTAAGAATAAATTCATAATACAGTAATAACTTTATTAAATATTGTTATTAACCCCTTTCGGACCAGCGTGTTGTGCACCACACTGCTAGCTTTGAATATTTATTAATATTCAAAGAATATTTATAATATTTGTAGGTAAAGATAAAACAAGAGTAATCTTTTAATAAATATTAAACACTTCTCATTTAGTTAAATTTGTATTATTTTACTGTTTACTATGAAAATTTCACCGTAAATTTCCAAGGTTTAAATTTGACCGGTACTTAATGGTTTAATAGTTCTAGGAATTTCATTTAAATTTTGATGATGGCTTAGTGTTTTATATATTAAAACAAAATAATGAAAAACGTAATTTATGATAAAAATAATATTTATTAAAATAATATAATATTTATAATATAATATTTATTATAATATTTGTAATATAGTATTTATAAAAATATTATTTGTAACATATTTAAATAGAAATAACTGGAAAAAATTTTGATAACAATTATTCATCTTTCAGAAATATTATGTATTAAAATTTAAAAATAATTTTGTCAAGTTATGGTATAATAATTATCACTTTTAGGCAAATCAAAAAAAAATTATATTTTTCGTTTAAGTTGTTTGTCCTTATGTTTTACTTATTTTAATTACTCAACAGATTTTCGAAAACGTGATTTAGTTTCGGAATTCGAACAAGTGTTTACTATAAACATTACATTCGAAATATTTTTGTGTACATTATTGCATTTATTTTTTATAATGTTTTAGAGAGAGTTATAAATTGTAAATAACAAATAAATACGTAAATAAATATCAATTAATATCAAGAGAGTTATTTATTTTCTCCAGCACCTTTTTTAATATATACTTTCTATTAAATTCTTTAATAGATTAATAACAGAAATTTAAAGAATTAATTTCTTTTTTAGCATGACTTTCTCAGTATTACGTTCCTAGATTAGGTTCTATACATAAGAAAGAATATATAAATCATGTAACAAATAATGCCCATACAAACAGAATAGTATTGAAATTTAACAATTAAAAATAATAAAAATATGTTTAATTAATTCAATTATTTTATTATTTCTTTCTAATATATATAAACACGGCAACTGAATTTGTTAATAAAACTTTTACAGCCAATTAAAAAAACTCCAGAAAAATGTGCGAACATAGAAGTCAAGTACGATTTTAGATCAGTTGATTAACGAGCGCTAACTCTAAACTTCAAATTTGATAGGACACGAGTTCGATTCCTGGTACTTGCAGTATCATAAAATTATTTACGAATAATTAAATACAAGAATTATTTCCAAGACCACTGATGATGGATATTTGGCAATACTCGAAACAGTTGTATGGTCAACCTACTACACTCTCTAAATACTGACGTCTTTAAAACTACAAACGTAGATAAAAAGGATATTAAAATTCCTCTTTTAAATACGCTTTTCAGATAAATGCGGTAGGATAGACATTTTAACGAACGTAATTATATGTAAAATGCATTTCGAATTACGATCAAACGTAGGGTTTCGAACATTAAATTGCTATAATTCTTGAAATGCTTACTTAAGGTTCCCATAGTCTTACACAAAATAATGCAGCAAAATACTTTCAAAATTACTGAATATAATAAAGATCTAAAAATAATATAGAAATCACACAGTTACAATAGGGATATTCTGACGTTATCGGTAACTTGGTAAAGTAATAAATTGATAAAAATAAAGTCTGAACGTTCCATTTTGTTTCTGAAATTGTCAAAGCAGCTGATTTTGTTTCCGTTTGTTTATCAAAAGATAATGCCTTGAAAATTGAAATTTTACAAAAATTTTATAATTTTACAAAGACACCAACTGGAGGCAGGTAAAAAATTTATATATTTTTTGTTAAAAAAAAAATTATTTCCTAAATAATATATAATTTGTATACATTTCATGTATTCAAAAATTGCATCTATTTTGTTTTTATTCGAGGAAGAGGCGCATTAGACACGTAAACCAGTTACACAAAGTTGGTGTTTTTGTGTTCATTAAACTGACACCTTTGTAATATACTTGGAATAACCGAATCCTTCTTAATAACAAAAAACGCTGACATTACTTTCATTCAAGAAAAGTGATGGACAAAAGAACTGTGATATCACTACGGCTTTCGTTTGGACAGGCAGAAAATCCGATGCGCTCTTGTGGTTAGCTAAAAATTTTGTTTCTCATTTTAGGAGGAAAAAAAGAAGCAGGGACCAAATTGATTATTTCGGGATGTATTAAAGGCACACATTTAGGGGCCTAGACATGGGCTTGAACCGCTACTGTATTGCAAAGAAACTTAGAGACATTAACGAAGTGCGGAACGCTAAGATTGGAATTTAAAAACCTTAATTTCTGTTATGAAGAAAGGCTATTCGATGATTTGGAGAATAAACCTATAACCGTCACATAGAAAGTCTTTTTAATTGAAATAAATTTGTGAGGCTATAGACCTGTACTTCAAACCACTGATCAGTTTTCCAAATTGTTTTAAATCCTGGTAAAAATATTATACACACAAACATTATACTTAGGCTATCATTTTGTTAACTATAAAACATCATTCTATAGTCCCAAAACGGATCATGTTTATATCTCAATGTCTGAAGTGTGTATGCTTTGATACACTTCTACAGGCTAATATTAAAATTAATCTGTACTTCAACTAAATTTCGTCTTCTACGAACTGTTGCCATGCAAGGCTCCTTAAACAGTGACTTCTGATCCTTACGCTGATTATGTTGACGTCACTATGCATAGCAAGCGTGATTTCTTAATTCAAACTGAATTTACAAACAGAAAAAAAAGGCAATGTAAAATGTTGATAACTACAGAAATACAAATATACAAATACAAATTTTTAAATAAAAAAGTATTTAAAGTCTTATATTATGTTTAGACTTACATTTATTGAACTGGATTAGCACATTTTTGTATGTAACACAATAATAATTATTAAACGTTTGTTGATTTAATTCAGTATATATAAACGCACTTTTATTATTTTCTACTATTAAAAATATTAATAATTGGTTTCACATATGAATTTTTGTGTCCTTTTGTTTTATATCAAGAAAAATATAAAAACTGATCGCACTTTTAAATTTTTTCGTTATTCCGTTTTTCTTTGAAATGTACACTTCAATGGAATTGCCGTTTTATTTTCGTTGTTTCATTAACACTAAAATACGTAGTTGCCACACTGAAATGTTTTGAAGCTGCTTTTTCATTTGTAGATAATTCGTAGATAATTAAGCGATTTTGACATAATGACAATTAGCTACTTAATTGCAAATTTATTTAATCTACCAATAATTATGGCTTCATTTATTTATTGTTTCTTTAATAAATATCTTAATTTGCCCTTTATTATGTTATCATATCTGTTTGTCAATTATAACATAGTTAGTTAGTTGTTTTAAGTCGAGTAAACATTTTCTCATTTATAAAAAAAAATTAATGTTTTTTATATGTATATATTATTTTAAAAATTTTATTTTCTATTGGTAGAAATTGTAACAAATAATACGCTACATATAATAAAATATTAAGGATTTAAATTTTTTTTTTAATTTTTTTTTATTAAATTTTTAATATAAATAAAGTTAAAATGAAAATGCTATTTCAGGTTTTGCGTAAATAAATTTAAACTCATACAATTTGTAAATTAATATCTAATTATCAAAGGATCATCTCCCGTGATATAGTTAGAATAATGTCAGCATAATTTCGTAAATATTAATTCAATCATAGGTAAGTTTAAATATTTGTAAAATGTAAATGTAAAATTTTAATAGCCTTATTTTAATACTTAATTGTCAATTAAATATATTGTGTTTTACTCATATAATAATGAATAAGCAAATAGATATATCTTTGAAACTTGAATTAATTATTTTATATTATGAATGTTTTGCATAAATGATTTAATTATTTAACATGTATTTGCACATAAAAATACTATTAATTAACTTATAGCATAACAACTTTAAAACTAACTTAACGTAAAATTTGTAATAAATTGTTACTAATAGCAATAAAAAGATATTAACTGACGCTAACCTAAAATCGATTTGAACAAATGTTTATATTACTTTTTACTCTGTTTATACACACGTTAATTTCGCAAAAATCTTATCATCTTCGTGTCAGAGAAATTAAGATATTCCTTCCGTACAAAATTCAGTGTTATACTTTGTTCAGACACACCTTAACTTCGCAAAAGTCTTAATTACATCTTCGTTTCACAGAAATTAAGTTATTTTTTGTATATAAAATTCAGTTTTAAGGTTAAAACGAAATTAAAGAAAACTGCCTTAATTTCATTGAAACGAAAGCTGAAATTAAGGGACATTTCAAATACAACTATGCGTAAGATAAATTTTAAGCAAAAGATAAAGTTGAGATAACGAAAAAGTGACATTTCTTCAAATAAATGTCAGTGACAGTTGATTTTAATGAAACCAAGAAAATATTTTGAAAGTAGTGCGAATTTTTAAATTTGAATATATAGAAAAAACTGTGACTGTTATTAATTTGAACTAGAGTGAAAAATAATAATTCACATGTACTAAAACTAATAAAACTACTAGATGCTATTCTTTATAGTTATAATAATCAACTTTTAAAATTTCCCAGATACAAATGGGGTTTAAAGCATGTTATTTTTCACATTCGATTTGTAAACAAAAAATATATGATTTCCTTAATTTGGTGCAGTATGAACACATTCCAAATTAACTTAATTTCATATTTACGAAATTAAGGAAATTTAGCTGTCTGAACATATTAGGTAAAATTTAAGTAAAACACAAGTAATGTACAAAATGAGAGCGTAACACAAATAAAGTCCCAAATTTCGCACCTTACACAGACTTTCATAGAACAATAGTCTGGTGAAAACACCAGTGTGTCGTAAATAAACGATACAAGAATCTAAATTCAAACCAAAATAACTGATTCATCAACACAAATTTTACTTAAAATGAAATGGAAAAATTGCTGGAAAAATTGCTGGTGGAACGCACTTGTATATCACAGTGTTACTCAAAGTTGCTACGAGTAGCTCCTGGAACAGATCTAGTATTAAATGAATTTTTAGTTTTTAATAATTATTGGCAAGTTTTATATCTTTTAAAAATACAACCTTAATCCATGCATAAGTGTGCATACTTTGCTGCTTGCGTAAAGTATTTGTTGTTTTGATTATTTCTTCACTTTTTAGAAAATTTTGCTTCAATAAGAAGCAGCGTCTGAAACTGCCTCAGTAAATAATTTGTGAAATAGTTTTTTTTTGTGTGTTTATTAAAAAATATTTTTTCAACATATATTTAAATATAAAAATTAAAATAAAAATAATTTAAAAATGGATGAAAGTGCATTGTCTTCTGAAAATATGGAGAATGAAGAAGAAACGCAGCATGTAGCAGAAGAAAACCGAGGCATTGATTCGAATTTATTGGGCGTAATTAATGTTGAAGAATCAGAGACAATCGTTATAGACTTATGTGCAACACCTTCCACCTCAACATCAACATCAACACAAAAACCTATGACTTCACCACAATCTAGCAGCACATCAACAGGCGTACAATCTGGTTCAGTCGAAACAAATGGTAAATTAGATAAATAATAATTTTTTAATTAAAATAAAATATAATAGTTGCAATGTTTGTTAAATAGAAAGTGGTGCCGAAGGGAATATATTGGAATGTCCCATATGTCTACAATCCTGTATACACCCAGCACGTCTTCCATGTGGACATATATTTTGTTTCCTGTGTGTAAAAGTAAGTTTTTTTTCTTTTTTGAAAATTATTTCTTTATAAACAAATGCAGCTTTACGTGCATGAAAAATACGTGATTTGTTTGCAAATCAAATATTAATTACTTTATTGAATATAAATAATGTTTTCGACGTCATATTTTTGTATTCGTTTTTTGTGCGGAAGTACGAAAAAACTTATTGACCTTCATTGGCTATTAAAAATGGTACAGAAATAGATTTGTAGGGTTCAGTGCAGAGTTGCAATGATAAAATTGATTTTATAGCTTCGTACTAATATGGATAATGTTAATATTCATTGTATTTTATATCCAATAAGATGGTATGGTATTTTCAAATGATTTGATTTTATTTTCTCTTTTTTTGTGTCATATGTGAAAGGTCAAATTCAACACCTAAAGTTACTTCCTCATATTTGTATTTTTTGTTTTGGCTACAATTCGTTAGCCATTTTGGTCGCAATCGAACCGGTTTTTTCGAACTAATGTTGTGTTGTTTACAGCTTTGATACGCCCTTAGTGGCGTTAGTTGTTGGCAATGGCGACAACTATTCAAAAATGCATTTAAATAATTTCATAAAATCGACCTACGGCACATTCATAGGGTGACCTCATGTAAATGACCTTTTACTTAACATAGCCACCAACAAATTCATCTCAAGCATCCATGCCTAATTTATGGGCATGAATGTATTTTCGATGAACTTATACCATAGTAAGCATAAAAGATATTAAAAATATAATAACTCAAAAGCTCATAAAAAATATTCGCACCAAGGCAAGGATGCAAATGCAAACTATGCAGAAATTGAATTCAAATTTTTAATTCAATAATTACGTTATTTTACGTTATTTATGTGAACTTCTGTTTATTATCTACAAAGCATTTATGGTTATTTAAGCTGAAGGTGACTATAAAATAAACATAAAAATTCTTTCAATTGTTTTTATATATAATTAAATATGAAGTTATGAGGTCTGACAAAACATTTGTGTTTATTTGAAATATGAGATGTATTTACAAGTCATATGCATGTATGTACATATCTATATGCGTTAATGTTTTAAAATGTTGAAATATTATGATGTAAGAATAGTTGAAGTGTATTCGATTTGTAATATTTAAATCAAATGCTTAAAATTGACAAAGCAACGAACATTTTTTTAAAAAAATGTTTATAACTAGAAATACTTAAACACGTTATAATGATCGAATGCTACTGCACAGCTGACTATGGTCAAGTCAAATGCGAGCACAAGCGTACGCAAACGTCAAAGGCTCGAAGCTTCTAACAGATCGAATGGTTTCAAGAACGACCGGGTTTACGTTCCGCAACCACTCGATGATCAAGTGCCGTTCAACACCTCCCTCCAAAGGGACTTCACAAGCAGGTCCCAGTGTGTTGCAACAACAACAACAAAAGTTCGGATAATATTTGCAACCATGGGCGTACACATGCAGGAGTAGGGGGGCACCTCCCGTCTAGACTTCATATTTTATTATTGTTTTGCATAAAAATTAAATATTGGTTATAAGAAATGCATAAGATTCGCCTTTCTAATCTTTTACTAATTTTCATAATTTATTTGACATACATATATATCCTTAATAATAATTGAAAATATAATGTTTATAATGCTAATAATATCATATTAGTATACCAGCGCCCCTTCCTCCAATTTCGGGTACGCCCATATCTGAAACTGTAATGTTTTTGTAATTTAGGTAATATATATATATCTATTTATATATAATATATATATATTATTATGTGAGACTAGTAGAGTCAGTGCACTTGAACACTTTTAGTCTCTATTAACTGTGAAGATTCTTCAAAACCCCACTCTACTCCTTGACTAGCTTATTATTTATCATTTCATCAGAGTAAGCAATAATTGACCTCAGATCTACATACCTCCCCGAGGAGCCTATAACGCGGTGTTGGTAAGCCTCAGTTTTCGTTAATATGCATAAATATGTAATAATTCCAATAGATACCATTTTCAAGCAATTAAGCAAATAATATTTCTAATAATTTTAATATTAATCATTATAGGGTGTGGCTTATAAAAATCGTCGCTGTGCAATGTGTCGCCGTGAGATTCCACCAGAGTTCCTTGATCATCCACAACTAGTGAATGGTATTGATGATATTTGTACTACAAAGAGCACTGAAGATGGTTACCAATGGTTCTATGAAGGTCGCAATGGTAAGTTAAATTACATTTTTTGTATATCCAGCTAACTTACCCACACCTGCAGGGGGTTGGTGGGCATATGATAAACGTACTTCTAACGAAATTGAGGAAGCATATCAAATGCAGTACGGTCAAGTAGTTATTGACATTGATATAGATCATAAATATGATATACTCGTCTGTGGTGCAATTTACACAATTGATTTTGAACAAATGGTTCAGTATCCTAAGGGAGTAACAACACGACGTCGAAAAATACGTCGAGCAAAAGATATGCATGTTAAAGGAATAGCAGGATTAAGCAAACCAATCAATAGCAGATAAAGCTAAAATAATAATATAAAATATACATTTAAATTAAGTCTATATTGTATTTTTTATATTATATTTTCTAATAAACAAAAAAAAAACTGTAATAAATGTTATAAATTATTAATTAAAATTTCTTAAATTTCAATTACAACTTTTAGGTTGGTGGCAGTATGACGATCGTACAAGCCAAGATATTGAAGAAGCTTACAAGAAAGGTGAAAAATCCTGTACAGTGATGGTAGCAGGTTATGTTTATATTGTTGACTTAGTTAACATGTTGCAACTGCGTCAAAACGATGCGACACGTTGTAGACGTGTTAAACGTGATTTGGCAACAATTCCCAAAAAAGGTGTTGCTGGCCTACGTATTGAAGGTAACACCGTAACAACAGATTTCAATTTTGCATCACAAGTTAATCAGGGACGCGAACGAAATTTAGATTTAAATGAAGATGCTGCACTTGATTTGGGTCCACCTTTAGGTATGCGTTTACCGCCAAATGCTAGTGACTTTATATCCACCATTGCAGCAACTGATGCAGCTATACGTATTGCAAGCGATATTATTGGATCTACTCTTGCACATGCTGATGAATTTTCACGCGGAGTTGCAGCTAGTTCTTCAAATAATGCGGATAATTCAAGTGGTGAGAATAGTATAAGCTCTAACGGTCTAGTTTCTGCCTCTGTCCCTGTCACAGCATCAGGTGTAGCACACGGTAGTCGTGAACTGCTTGATGCAGCTGAAGATCTTTTGGATGCTACTCAGAGTGTTATATCTGGAGCTGATCAGGAGACCATCGAGTTTTTCGAACAAACACTTAACGATTTCCATTTTCTGACTTTACGCAACATCATTAATTCTAGTGATGAAGATGAGGATGGGAGTTACGCGCACAGACATATACGATTTTAAATATTTCTCTATTGTTTTTTAATTATTTATGCCATTTTTATACAATATGTATGCAGTGTGAATCATACATATTTTAATAAATGTGCATAGTGATTGAGAAATATATTACAATGTTAACAAATTGTTCAATAGTATAAATTTGACGATAATTAAATCCTCAAAACAAAAAATGTTCCTCGTAACAAAACACTAAATTTATTAAGTTAAAATAGTAGAAATAACTAAGTCGATTAAAAATAGAAATATATAGAATATTTGATATAAAATATACGTGTATAAATATTTATGTATACATGCTTATATTTTACAATAGTATAAAAAGATGAGAGTAAATTATAATATTTGTAAATTACTAAGCCAATGTGAAGTACTAAGCGAAGTGCGTTAAAATTGTCTTAGTAAAAAAACTTAATTAAGAAGTTTGGAATACATTCTTGTTTAATATAAAGACAAGAAGTATGAGTACATTTACTTCATCTTTTTCTTAAAAACTGAACATTTTGTTTATACGAAGGTACTTAAAATATATTTCAATCGTATAAAATGTGCACGCTCTAAATAAATATCTTAATTATTTTATTTATATATAAAAAAAATATGAGTTGTTATATATAAAATTTGTGTAAGTTCAGTTTCGAAAAAAAATGAATTAATTATACTGTTAATGACATAAAGAACTACATATATGATTCGAGTATGTTTATCTTTTAGCATTTCGCATGCATTTCGAATATCATTAGCGTTCGACCATTTTGCACAAGTATAACTGCTTGGACATTTTCGAACACTATTTGCATTCGGAAACTTTTTGTTATGCGTATTTGTATAAAAAAGAACGAAAAAAATTAAAATATTAGAAACACATTAACAATAGGCACTACGGTATTTTCGTTTTGAATTCTTAAATTATTGCTCATCATTTTCGAAATGCAGGTAAACGTATGGGAGAATACCTTTTCGGAAGCATCACACCAGCCTTCATAATGAGTATTTAGCATTGCTTAAACTCTAAAATGACGTTGGTGTTGACGTTTGTGAGAGAGCATTCCCTCATTAGGTTTACATACTTTAAAAAAATTGTAAGTGTGATCTTACAAATTTAAGAATAAAAACGCCCTGATGCCTAGCGACGCCTTTCTACCTTAAAGCAGATTTGCTGAAGAAAAGTTCGAAAATGGCGCTGCTAGAATATTTGAAGTGTTCATCCGTGTGCTGAATACACTCGAGCTGCTTCTATATAATGTTACTCGAACTTATATGTATTCATTTTTTATTTATTTAAATATTAATAATTCATTATAAATTATACAAATTAAGTTTTTTTTGTAAAATTTTATGGTAAAGATTTTATGGAAGTGTAAAACTTTAATTATATATATACATATATATATAAACATATAATTATGTTAGTATATATGAAAAAACTGACTTGCACCTATTTCAAATATAACGACCCGTATATATAGAATTTGCCATTAATAACTAGAATAAAAATATATTTTATTAATGGTTATATTTTCCTTGTATTAAATTCCTAGCAATATACTATTGCTATGAAAAATGTTTTATTATTTATAAAAAGTTTATATATATTTAACAGTGTCTTATTATTAAAAAACAATATATGTCAGTTTAAGTCATTGTTGTATAAAAGAATAACTAATTCAGCTTTATAACAAAAAGTTAACAATTTTCTTTCGTGTTATAGTTCGTTGGAAAGGCATGTCCGACAATATAATTTTTTTAAAAATATTAAAAAATCCATTAATACGTTTATATGTATGCTTCAAAAAGTTTAATGAAATTTACTCATGATAGGTTGTAGTGATAAACTCTATACAAAGAGAACATATTGAGATGTATTCAAAGTAATATCCAATTGTGATAAACCATCATGATACTAATAAAAAAAATAGTTAAGGTATACAATAAGTATCAAATGCTAACATCAAACAGAAAAAATATTCCAACGAGCTTAATAATTCATAAATACTAATAATTTATCTAATAGATTATATTTAAAATATTTTTTTTCTCATTTCACTATTATTATTATTATAATTAAATTTTTATATACAATATTATTATAAAATTAAGTACTAATTTTTAAATTTCCTATGTATAGATTACGATCGATCCTCCCACCTACTCCTATCCGTGAAATGCATTCTTAAAGATTGTTTCGTCAATGTCTTCGAATTTTACAAATCGTTATTGATACCCAATTAAAAAAAATATTATATAACATGTATTTGTATATACTTGCATATATTGCCAATCAAAAAAAAAAAAAGATAGTCTAGAATCTACTTTTGGGTCCAACAGAAGCAAGAAACATATAATGTGTAAGTGTAAATATTTTATAAAGAGAATGCACTCCTTCTGCCATGATATTTTTTATTCAAATATGTTATTTGCTCATAAATTTCTTAATTCATTTCGTTTACGGAACTCATATCTTCTATTTATACTGTTATTGTTATCTTTCTAATTCTAAATCTAATTCTCAGTTCTATTCATTCTATTCGTATTACATACTTCATTGATACATTGAAAAAGCTAGTAACATAAATCCACCAAAGGTTATCTGCACTATTGCTCTGAGGTGTAATTAGGCATTTTGGCTTGTAGTTTTAGATTCTGTTGGTGTTTTCTTTTGAATTGCTTATGATCTGAAACTAATTTTGTTTTCAATCTCGCTAATGCATTGGATGTTATATCTATTCCATACTGACAGTTTCAAAAATTTCATATAATAATTTTTAAAACTGATTACTCGCACTTATTTGAAACTAAACTTGAGCACCGCATTATATGCATTGTAATCGAATAAGTTTAATTGAATTGTATGATTTTACATAGCACTGATATATATTAATTAATTTTTTAATTTACTTTTAATAATAATATCGTAATTTAAGTTTTAACATTAAGAATTATATTCATTTAAAATCAACTTTAAGTAAAATTATTTTGCGTGTTAAACGATAAGTAAGAAAATGTTTTAATAATTTAAAAAACTACTACATTGTTTAATAATAAATGTATTATTTAAGTTAACTGTAACTAAATTGCTTGTGCTTATTAATGCTAAAGGACTAGGACTTAATTCTAGCCATACAAGATAGTGATAACTATCACAAATATTTTTAATTAAATATAAATTGATTTTAAATTGTCACTATTTCTGGTTACTCGACAAAAATGAATTTATTAATATTTTTTGCTTGAATTAATATTATATTATATATGTACTAACAATAACAAAATAGCTCAAGGATTTACTCCTAGCAATTTCTAAGTAAATTAAATTTATTTATAACTACGGCGACAATGCTAACAACGTCTACTTTTATCATTTAAACATTCATATTAAAAGGACATAAATTAATGTTTTATAACAATATAACTATTATTAATTATCAATATTTAATAAAAGCATTGATTGTTTTTCATTCATATTTAAAGGACATAAATTAATGTTTTATAACAATATAACTATTATTAATTATCAATATTTAATAAAAGCATTGCTTGTTTTTCATCCTTTAAATAATTTATTTATAAAATACAGACTGAATATCTCATCCATAAATATTCCATTATATATATGTAGACCGAATCTTTTAATAATAAAATTCAAAATTTTATTATTTTATTATTTATAATTAATTTATTAATTAACATTTTTTTTCCTATAAAATGATTAAAAACTTATTTAAAAGAACATTTTTGTGCAATTAAGAAATACCATTATTTTTAACAATATATTTAAAATCTATATTGATTTTATATTCTTAATATGTTGGTGGGAAATAGGTGGTTGGATTTTAATGATAAAATAATTCAATGATATTTAGTCACAAATACTTTGGTTTAGGGATAAATCTTTAATTATATGAAATTTAGTATTAAGTAAAAACAATTAATAATATATAAAATATAAAATATTTAAAATTAAGTGATAGAAGTTGATTTTATATTAAATATTCTATTATTTTAAAGTAATGTATTTAATAATAAAAATTAATTAATAAAGAAAAAGAAATGTTTAAATAAATATAGTACAAAAATATGTACATATATGATAATATTAATTCATTTATTCAATTAAAAATACAAGAAAATAAATTATATAAAAAACTAAGTAATGTACTTTAAAACCACTATAAAAAAACATTTAATTTTAAGTCACATGCATATAAGTTTAGAGAGTTATATAAGAAACTAAATATTTAATTTCATATATAAATATATATATATATTTAATATAAATTTATTATTTCAAAATATATATTATGTATAATTATATTTAATATATATTAATTATATATACATTATATATATGTATATATAAATATGTATAAGAAATATATGCACTCATGAATATGTTTATTTATATTTAATTATATATTTATATTTAATTATATATTTATATATATTTAATTATATTTAATTATATATTTATATATATTTATATATATATTTATATATATATATATTATATATATTTATATATATTTTATATATTTATATATATTTTATATTTATTTATATATTTATATATATTTTATATATTTACTATATATTTATATTTATATATTTATATTTATATATATTATATATATTTAATTATATATTTATATATATATACTTATATATTTATATATATTTAATTATATATTTATATATATTTACTTATATATTTATATATATTTAATTATGTATTTATATATAGTCAATTATACATTTATATACATTCATGACATGTGTGTACGTATTTATATATATAATATATATGTGTATTTAAATACATACATATATGTATTTTTGTGTGTATGCTTATGTAATGTATATAATATACGACATTTATACACAATGTATATTCATATATACATATAAGTAGTTATATATATATATTTATATATTTAAACACAAAAATATTATAAATACATAAGTATAAATAATATATATATATATATCAATAAAAAATATATGTATCTATTTAATACATAAATATAATAATAATAATTAATTATTATATATTATAAATCAAAACATATGCTTAAAAAGCTTATGTGGAAAAAAGCAATAACTAATAGATTTTATTCAAATGCTATGCATAAGAGTCATAAAATAAAATAAACACTATATTCTAACAGTAAGTGCCAAAGGTACATACATATAAAGATTCAATATTAAAAGTAATTGTAACTGTTCAATAT